GACTTATTGAGGTGATCATTTCACAATGTGTACCAAAGTTGAATCACTATGTTGTACACCCAAAACTAATATAACATTGTATCTCAGTTATACTTCAATAAAATTCTTAAAATTAGGTAGATTTATATGTAACATGAAAATAAATCCACAATGTAACTAGTTTAAGAAAATGTTATTAAAGGGGCACCTGGATGGTTCAGTTCGTTAAGTGTCTGCCCTCGGCTCAGGTCATGATCCCAGGGTCCTGGGATCAGAGTCCCACATCGGGCTCCCTGCTCAGTGGGGAGCCTGCTTCTCCCTCTGCTTGTGCTTGAGCCTGCCACTCCTCCCAACCCCACTTGTGCTCACTTTCTCTCTCTCTCTCTCTGACAAATAAATAAAATCTTTAAAATAAATAAATAAATAAAATTGTATTAGTTATTAAGTTTTTTTAAATAGAAAATGTTATTAGAAGATATGTATTATACGATTTTTGTCCTAAATAATGATAAGTATATAAAGGGAAAAAACTGGAGGGTTAGAGACTCAACAGTTGTTCTTTCTTTTTTTTTTTTTAAGATTTTATTTATTTATTTGACAGAGAGAGATAGAGAGCGCGCACACAAGTAGGGGCAGCGGCAGACAGAAGGAGAGGGAGAAGCAGGCTTCCCGCCGAGCAGGGAGCCCGATGCGGGCTCGATCCCAAGACCCTGGGATGACGACCTGAGGCGAAGGCAGACGTTTAACTGACTGAGCCACCAGGCGCCCCAACTGTTGCTTTTTCAAGGAGATAAGATCATCGGCTCTACCTTTCTACCTTAAATACTTCTGCATTATCAGAATTCCTTTTTTACAAAGCATATATAACTTTTCTATTTAGAACAAAATGAAAATAGTTCTCTTTTTAATTATTTGATGAATTAAGTCCCTAACATACCTACATACAGCCACTACGTAAAATGAGCCTCTGTAACACATCGTTTTACTAGCTGCACAGTGCAGCAGCTATGAATTGAGTATAAATTATGCTTAATTTGTTTAAGTGATTCTCCATTACTGGATATTTAGATTGTTTCCAAATTTTTGCTACTATAAGCAGAACTTAGATGGAAATCCATGGGGCTAAGTATTTGCACATATTCTTAATGTTTCCTTAGAATAAATTCCTAGAAGTGGAAGGGTAGGCACAAGATGTGGGCACATCTAAGGACTTTTGACCCATATTGCAAAATTATCCCACAAAATGTCAATGCCAATTTACTTTCCAAACTGTAATGTGGGAGGGTAGCTTTTTCCCTTTAGAAATTCTCAATAGTTAGTAATATTCAACCCTGAATATTACTATCTTTTCTCCAATTTTTAACAATTTGGTAAGCAAAATGACATTTTTTAGTTTGTATTTCCTTAATTATTAAGGAAAATGTCATGATTCATATTCACTTATTGGCTATTTGTTACTACCGTGTGATCTGCTGGTTGGTATCTCTTGCCTGCTTTTCTACTCGGATCTTCTTTCTGGTGTGTGAGAATTCTTCATATTTTAGCCCTTTGTCATTAAGGCTAATAAGTGTCCTTTGTCTTTTAGTTTTGGTTAAGGTTTTATGTTCAGAAACTTTTTAAAAAAGATTTATTTATTTTAAAGAGAGAGAGCGTAGGGAGGAGGGGCAGAGAGGAGGGAAAGAATCCAGAGCAGACTCCCCGCTGAGCGCAGAGCCTGCTGTGGGGCTTGATCTCACGACCCTGAGATCCTGACCTGAGCTGAAATCAAGAGTCAGACACTTAACCAACTGAGCCACCCAGGTGCCCCTGTTCAGAAACTTCTAATTGGTATAAATTTTTTCAACAATAAAATGCACTTGGAATTCCAAATTACTGACTTGTAAATGGGCATTTGAAATACAACCATGTGTATTAGCCACTTTATCCCTGGTTTTCATATCTTTTCAACGAAAGCTCCTTGAAGGCACAAGTCCTGACATTTCTTGAACCCTCCATGGCAACTAGCACACAGCCCAGAACAGAACTCCAAAATGCTGAAGATGAAAACAATACTGTGTCTGGGATTTGCTTTGAAACAGTCCAGTTTGGGGTGGGAGATGAAAACAAGACAGAAATCAAACAGAAGCAGCCACACGTTAGTAATTGTTAAAGCTGGGTAATGGGTACATGGAGTTCATTATACTATTATTTCTTTTTGTATATTTGAAGATTTCTGTAATCAAAAGGATTTTTTTTTCTTCTTCTTCTTCTTTTTTTTTTTTTCCTTTATGGATTGGCCACTAGCATCACGGTGAGGACTTCTGGAATAACAATGGTGATGAATATGAATTACACAAACATCAAGGCCACTTTTTATAGCATAAAAACGTTAAAAACCCAGCCCTTGAAATTAGGTAGGGCTGGGTACAAACCCTTTCTAGTGTAAGTGACCTTGAACCAGTTTTTCAACCTCTCTGAAACTTAGTTTTCCTTTATAAATAAGGGTATTAATAACTACCTCAAAGGGTTCCAGTGAAGATTAACGGCTCTAAAACTTGGTGCCTCGCACCAAGCAGCACTCCGCAGAGTAGCCGTCATTATTACTCAGTGATGCACCAGCTTGACAGGCTCCAGCCAACATTTCCTGATGGTGTTAATCCAATACCCTTCCACTACAGCTGAGCTTTCAGTTAATCGGTTTGGGCAGCAATTTGACAACTGCTTGGCAGAGGACTTGGCAGAACAGATGTCAGGAATTACGTTCCTGACACCAGAAGAGAAAACAGATAAGGCCATAGGAAAGGACAAAGCGCTTAACTCCCAACCTGACTCAGCAGGTCCCCAGAGAGCCTGAACTCCACATTCCAAGGATGCAGTCAAGAACAAGAGTGATGACAACAGCGGGTCATTCAAAACTTTGACCAGACACTATCATCACCTGGGGAGCTTAAAATAACACAGTGTCTGGGGCCCACTCCCAGCCTTTGGGGTGTAGACTAGGTATCAAGGTTTTTCAAAGTCGCACGTGACCTAATGCGCACCACCCTGCTGTGTGGGTTGGGGTTCGGGCTGGGGAGGGAAGAGGACAGGGCAAACAAAGAAGAGAACAGAGACCACCGCATCCCATGTGAACCCCATTAAAACCAGCCCACTCATGTGGTCTCAAGCTGTGTCCCATGCCAAACAAATCCAGTCCTATTAGGGTCCCCTTGCTCCCTCCATAAACTTCAAGAGCCCATTACCATGTAATAATTCCCAGGGCTAAAATATGGTAATAATGTCAGGATGCATGCCTATCAATATTCTAAAGAATATTAAAGTAACACAGCTGGTCTCTGGATGTTGGTCTTAGAAAACAAAACAAAAAAGTCCGGCTAAGCGATAGTGGAGGCTGGGGGAGGGAGAAAGCACTCTGTCTCACAGCCTTCAGGCAGCCTGTCCCTGTTACTGAAGCACACTCAAAGAGGCAGGATCCTTTCGTGAAGTTATTGCAGCGTCTTTGATCAAGGGAAAAAGCACATCCATTTCAATCACTGTAACGGGGATGAGCGGGCTGTTGGGCCGCCGGCCGCCCACCTCGGCGAGCCAGCCTCGGGCTTGCAGACACATGGCAGTGCTTAGCGTGTCAAACAAACGAAGGGGCTCTTGACTGTCTATCCAACCTCTGCTGAACCTCAGGGGCCCCCTCATTTAGCAATTCTGCCCGGATTAATCTGGAAGTTCCTTTGCCGGCAAACACCACCTGGTCAGGACCGGCCTCGCCGAAACCAAAGCTGACCTGTCTGTCACGAGGCAGAAGGCACTTCAGAACCAGAAGGGCAGGAGTCAACCTTCTCACAAGCAACACACGGAGGTGACACAATTGTAGAGAAAGGGAAAAATGACGGCCATCAACTTCACCTCCTCCCTACGACTTCTATTCCCCACCCCCGCCCCGTTCCCGGCCCCAAACTAAGTTGAGAGAGGTCTGATTTTCTCCCCTACACGTGATTTCTCAGCAGTGCAGTTTCAAACATATACACAAACATCCCCTGCCTTCTTTTCACCAGAATACATAATAAATAAAAAATGGAGGAGGGGAAGGTTCAAGAAAAGGTTTTACTTTCCTTAAGCGACATCATCCGTAACATCTTGGGAAGATGTGAGGAGTAGCACCAGAGTGGATATGGGGATAATGCTGATGAAAATGCAGGATATTTAAATAGCATCTATGTGTTCCAAGTGTTGTTCATGCACGAACGCATTTAAATCCTCACCACAGCCCCATGAGATAAGCTATAGTAATACTCCTATTTAATAACAATCATAACAATAGTAACATATAATAATATGTACAATGTAATGACTATGATTATGTATGATAATGATGGCAATCATAACCTCGTGCTACCTGTGTTTTAGAAACAGTTGTGCCAACTTCAACGTGGCCAACATTACTTTTACACAAAGCACTAACAAAAGACCATGCAGGATGAGAGGTGGGACTGCCCAAAAGGCAATTTTTAAACCTGAGTGCATGCATACACGTGCATGCATGCACATGCATGTGTGTGTACACACACACACACACACACAATGCACCCACTCCAAGAATCATGGTACAATGTGTACTCAAAGGGAGCCCTGCTTCGTTCAAGCACTAGGGGTAGGAAGAAGGGGAGTGCAGAAGGGGTAGAAATAAACAGTGAAGGGAATTACCAGGGTTGCCCTTGGAAACTGGCAGGGATAAGAAAAATAATCAGCCTGCACTTGACAGAAGAGAAAAACGGAGACAGCCAGCAGGGAGGACGGGGACCAAGCAATGCCGGTTTCCTGGCTCGGACTTCCATGCCCCTTTTCAGGACCCACTGCCAGCTGGCAAGGGATGGCATGGGGGGCCCAGGAGGGGGAGTGCAGGCACCAGAAGGTAGCACAGGGGGGTGTCAAAGAGCCCTCAGCAGTTTCCCTGAAAGCAAAGGCTCTGAGGGGCCTTCCCACTCTCAAGCACCTCCCCTCGGCCTCAGTCCAGGAAATGGGTCTGAGAGACTTGGCCAAGGCCTCACCTGGGTAAAGGAGCCGTCTTCGCTGCACTCCGGGACAAACACCGCCTCCTGCGGCTTCTTGGCTTGCTCCAGGGCCTGAGCCCGCTCCAGGCGACACTTGCTCTGACCAGCGTCTATAAGAGGAGAGGAGGCGCGAGGTTCATACTCCGCTTGAATCCACACTGGAGCCATGAGACAAAATGGCTGCCCAGTACTAGGAAAGCTGAGGGAAAACCTCTCTGCAGATGGGTGAGCCCCCATACCTCCAACTGGCTTTTCCACCAACACAAGGGCAGTGGCTGGTACGTGATGCTCAGCCACACCTTCCTCTTAGTGTTATTCTTTGAGAAGTTGGGGAGGTGCATTTATACCAGATTCTGCTTATGTTTTTTTTTTTTCTCCCAAGTACCCTTAGCGCCTCCCATGGGAAAAAAAAGTCCCACCTCTATTACTTTTCACCGGGCTTATTGAAAAAAATTGCAAGCCCAAGGGGTCTCAAAGATGTTTTAGAGTTCCAGAATTGCAAGCACTTTCTTTGGAAGATCAGAAGCTCTAGGGCAGCCTGTTTCGTCTCACACAATTCCTACAACAGCTCTAAGCAGCCCAGGGATCGCTAACGCAAATATCTACAGGGCAAAGGAACGTGATATAAATTAGGGAGCTGAACCAAGTGTGCAAAGAGTGGCACTCAGCTTGGAGGTACCACAATTAGAGAACAGCCCTCCCCCCCAAAGGAGGAAGCTGCCACCCAGGTCTAGCCATGTGTTTCTCTGTGGAATACTGGAACACAAACCTAATACGAGCTTCCAATCATTTATGAGAAGTACAAAAATCCAGATTTTTATGTTGAATCTCTCCATTTTTAAATGTTGTCTCAAATGTTTTTAATATTTTTAAACATCTGAGCAGCCCAAACAAAATACATCTGTTGGCCAACAATTTGGAAACCCTCCTTATTCAGGAGCCAACAATAACGTCTCGCTATTTTAAGCATCTCCATTTACAAAAATAAAAAATAAAAATAAATAGCTCTAGCCAGATAGCAGCCCATCTCTCTAAGCCCTAGCCTGGTGGCAGTGTTTGAAAGACATAATCGTGCTCATTCCTTCGGGTAGGCCCATTCTCCTTCCCCTCTTCCCCAATGGGGAAACACAAGGAACACAAGTAAGAGACTCATTCTCAGCCTCCCCCACGGACAGCGCCCCATGCAGGGCACGGTGGTGCCTGGGAGCCTCCTCTCTGCTGGGTGGATGTGCACACACTCACCTTTGCATCTGCCTCGATGTACCACACCCAGGGTCGGGTCTCTGCACTTGGCTCGCTGGTACTCACACATGGACTCATAGGACCTGCCGTCGGAGGCACAGATGGGTTTGGGTTGAGTCCTGGAGCAGTGGAGGTTGCACTGAGGGTCACGGTCGCTTATGAGGAACTAGGTTGGAGAAAAGTGAAAGGGTGTCGAGGTTACTTTTAAGAAAAGTAGGGGTGAATCCATGTCTCACAATACTGGGTTGCCTGGGGGAGCAAGTCCAGAATAAACCCAGTTATTAAACCCTAGAAGTGGAATGGAGCCACAAAGTCTAACCAAGGAAAGCATCCCGTGCTAAATAAATAATTCACAGGCAGGATCTCCTTAATCCTCGCAACAGCCCTGTGAAATAGGAACTATTTGTTTCGCAGATAAAGAAACTCCAGCCAGAAAGAGGTAACTGGTCCAACGTTACACAGCTATAAGTGATGGATCTGAACCTAGATCAGTCAGAAGTCAAATCAAAGCTTTTACCACCAGGATATTCAGCCTCTCCATCCTTGCACGTGGCCACATGACCCTGTTTGGGTACTTCCCCAAATCAGGAACTCACTAGCAATCTCTACATTCCATCTTTGGAGAGTTTAATTTATTAGAAAGTAGTTTGGAGACCCAACTCGATCACCCTTCAATTTCTGCCTACTGCTCTCTGGCAAAATACAAGTGATTTTCTATGAGAAAGGGATTTCCTGATTTAAAAAGATAATAATCATCAAATTGGGAAATACTGGGTTAAACAGGTTTCTTTTTTTTTTTTTAAGATTTTATTGATTTATTTATTTGAGAGAGAGAGAGAGAGAAAAACAGCATGAGAGGGGAGAGGGTCAGAGGGAGAAGCAGGCTCCCCACTGAGCCGGCAGCCCGATGCGGGACTCCATCCCGGGACTCCGGGATCATGACCTGAGCCGAAGGCAGTCGCTTAACCGACTGAGCCACCAGGCGCCCTGATGGTTTCTTTACTGCAGGACTTCTCAGACATCTTTGGTACGTTCTTACGCATCATTATAGCAGCAAATTGCGTGCTACTCCTCCCATTTTGCTAATTCCCTCCCCTTGAATCTGGACTAGCCTCAGCAATTTGACCAATAACATGCTGTGGAAATGAGGTTTTGGGACTTGTGAGCTTTACAGTTTCCTCCCAGGCCTGTTGCAACACTCACTCTGGGGGAACTCAGCCACCATGCAGGAAGCCAAACAACCCCGAGACCGCCACACTATGAGGAAGCCCAAGCTAGCCTGTGACAGAACCATGGGCAGAGATGCCCAACCAATCCAGGCACAGAGACCAGTGAGTGAAGAAGCCATTCGATGAGTCCACCCCCCACTATCATCTGATTGCAGCTACCAGATAAAAATAAGTAATTGCCTGAGACACCCCAAGTGAGAATTGCCCAGCTGAGCCCAGTCAACCCATGGAGCTGTAAGGGACAATAAATTGTTGTGCTAAGCCATCCAGTTTTATGGTATCTTGTTACACAGCAAGAGATAAGCAGATCAAGGGGCATGTAGGATGATGCATCTCCCACTTACTTATTAGACCATGAATCCTTTTGTCAGTGAACCCCTGCTAGCAACTATAGGATATAGCTGGAAAATAATTGGATCATACAGTAATCCATGAACTTCTGTGGAATAACCCGTGATTAGGCTGCATGGGCCTTGAGAGCTGGATCCATGCTTATCCACCCCTAAATAGCAGAGTTGTAGGTCCACTCAAGGCTCTCTACCAGTACAAGTTGACAGAATGCATATCCCACAATAATGCACGGCAGTGTCATGGGCACACCTGGCTATTGGTGATACTTGAGTTGACTGAATAATCACGCCAAGCTCATAGGGTTTAGGGAAGGTGTGAGTACAACCCCTGTTTCAGATGTATCTTGAGGTCCTTTGTGCAAAGCAAATAAATGAGAACTTGACCCTTTTCCAGAACAGCAGAGGGAGTCTGGGGGCAGCATCACCCCCTTCAAGGGAGCACTAGGAACACACCCCCCCATACTGGCCAAATTCCCAGAGTGTCCAAGCCCATCCACTAGCACACAGACTGCCTCCCAACTATAAAACCAGTCCCTTCCAGTACCCTGACCTCACACCTGGGTGCTGGCTGCTCAGCACAGGGAGGGAGCAGCTGAGGGCTGAAACCATGCTGGCCTCCCAGGACAGTGCAACTTGTCTTCCCTGGAGACCCTCGGGGCTCCCACAGGCACAGTTCAACCTGAGTCCTGCCCACGGCCAGAGGGAAATGTCCTGATAGTGTCTCATAATAGAGTCTAGTGTTCTGGGATTGAAGCCAATACTAGAGAGAGCCATATGCAGAGGAAGCCCACTACCTCCCAGGCTGCCACACAGAGGGAAGAGTTTAAGCTCACTAGATAGCGGCCAGGGGTGGTATCATCCACACCTCAACCCTGCATGGCATCCCCAGCCTCACTCCCCTCAGGCTGCCCCTGCTTTAAACCCTAGAGCAGTGTCCCATCACCCTGGGGACTTTCACACGGTCTCCTAGGCCTGGCAGACTCTGACCCTGGGGCCCCTTCCCTGGCCTCGTCCCCACCTTGCTCACCACTGCTCAGGTACACTGGCCTGCTTTCCATTTCCCAAATGAGCTACATTTGTTCCTCCCTCCAGGCCTTTGGACACACTGTTCCTTCTCCCTCCCCTCCCACCCCTACTTCAGATTTTGGCTCCTATCATCTCTTTTAGGAGGCTTTCCCTGACTCTCACAGATGAGCACAGGTCCCCTATAATACCCTCTCACACCTCACTTTTCCTTCACGGCACTTAACGGTTTGTGATGATGAACTATATGATCTGATTAACAATGGAATCCCCAACTCTGAAACTTGCAAAGACAAGGAGAATGTCTATCTTGCCTGTGAATACATCCCCAGCATCTAGAACAAAGCTGGGACACTCCAGTATTTGAAGGATGAATATGATCTTGTAGCAGCATCTCCCACATGGCATTACCTCCAGACCAGCTGGTGCAATGTGACAGGTCCGGCCTGTGGGCTCCTGCCACCCCAGGAGGTCACTGGGCCATGCTCCCACCCCCTGTCCCCCCTACATTACATGGTGGGCAGAGGTCTTCCACAGCTTCCTGCCCCGGCTCCACCTCAAAATTTAAGTTGTCTCTGAGATTGAGAGGTGGGTCTTTTCTCTCCTACCCCACCCGGACCTCTCTGCCACTCCAGGCCTCCCCATCTACCACCAACGGTGCACCATGGAAAACTTGGAACGCAAAAGTCCAGCTGAATGAGGCGGGCTTGGGAAGCCCTGGCCACAGGCTCCTGAATGGGCACAGGACACAGGTGGCTGCAACCAGCAAAGCTGGCCTCAAACGTCTCTCTTCCTCCCTCTGTGCGGCCCTCCCAGACCCATTCCTAACTTGTCTGTGGCCTAGAAATGCAGCCAGACCTGGCTCTGTAATTTCGCCTGGTGAAAAGCCAGCCCCCAGCCAGAGGTGGCATTGGTATCCTCCTGCCCAGGCTTCCAGGCCAACCTGTGACCCCAAGACTGTCCGAGAGCAGGTCAAGTCGCTGTTGTTATCACATGACTGTTTTCTCACCTGTGGATCCACGCACTACTTACCTGAAGTGACACCTGCTCGTAAGACCTACCTTGTTAGGTTATTTTGCCGTGGGAATCAGCAGGGGCCAAGGAGAAACATGCCCTTTTTTTTCTCATGATCACACAAGGACAGAACTATCTGTAACTTCTAATGCCTGGGAAAACCAAGGAACTCATCCTTGGTGACAAAGGGATTTGGGTGGCCAGACCTTAAGTCTGAAGAACAACAATAATAAAAGCTGATAGTTAGGTATCACTTATGATACGTTAACTAATTTCACCCTACGAGGCAGGGTAAGTTACAATCCTCATTTTTACAGATGAAGAAACCAAAGCCCGGTGACCCCTCCAAGCATGTATGTGTGAGTGCTGGATCCGACACCCACAGCCTGGCTCAGGGCTCTGCTTCCAGCTACACCAAAACCGCCTTTTTCATGATTACAGAGCAAGGCTGCAAGTAGGAGCTCTGACCCAGTTGCAAAACGGGATTCCCGAAGTCAAATCTGTTTACCAAGAGCCTACTGTGTGCCAGCCGCCAACCGCTGGAGATCCAGACAAGACAGGCCTGCCTTCTGGGCACTAGAAGCCTAGTGGGAGAAGCTCCTCACAGGGCCCTTGTTCACCTTAAAAAGCAGGGATCGGAAAAGACAAAGTGTCTTTTCAAACTCAAGGAGATTGCCCTGTCCTCTCTTCCTCAGCTCACGGGAGAGGAGAGCTGTGGGAGTCTCCATGGCATTGAGCTACAAGCCATAAATTTGGTTTGGAAATGGCTAGCTCTGGGCCAACAGAGACGCTACGGCAGCCGTGCCAGAGACCAGCTTAATGACTGGGGGAACATTCTGTCTGCAAATAGACAGGTTAAAGAGCTTCAGAAGAAGCCCCACCTACCCCAACACATGGAGATCCTTCCCACCTCCACAAGGGCTTCCAAAAGGTTCCATCTAGAAATTACTGGTCCCTGAGGCCAAGTAAAAAAGTTCCGAGACAGCATGGGGCCATTGCTAAAAGACTGTCTTCCACCGTCTGTGGTGTCTCATTTTCATCTGTTTTAGGAACTGTGTGTATTTGTGGTTGTTTAAAAAAAAAAAAGGCGATGGGTTCTATAAAATGGACTTTTAATAGGACGTCTATGCCCTAATACGATCACCCAAACCTCCAGGGCCCGAGGGGATTACTTGGGGTCCACAAACACTGCTTATTCAGCCATCCATTCACCTACTTTTGTCTTCTGCAAGCCTGTACTATGCACCTAGCACTGTGTGAGGCCTGGCAGGCAGGAACACAACCCACACGGTCCTGCCCCCACGGGGCCTGCACTCTAGGGTGGAGACAAATGAGCAGACAGTGGCCGTACAGCAAGGGAACAGGAGACTGCAGGACCCAGAGAGGACTTAATCCTAGGGACTCTGCAGTGCTAAAAGCCACGCAGTCCAGCAGAACTTTCTGTGATGGAAACGTGTTCTTTCTCTGTGCTGTCTAATACAGTGGCCACACACCACGTGTGGCTATTAAGCACTAAACTGTAGCTAATGCAACCGAGGAACTAAATTTCTAGTTGCATTTAATTTTAGTTCACTTAAATTTGCATAGCCACATGTGGCTAGGGGCTATCATATCCAAGAGCACAGCTATAGAGGGGGAGAGAGAGAGGCTCATCCTCCCTGGAAATTCTCCTAGTTGAGCCAAACTAAGACCCATTGGACCAAGGCAAAAAAGAAGCAGAGCCTGAGGATAAAAATCGGTTCAATACTTATTGATCAACAGCACCACATCCCAGGAGTTCCTCAGTCTACCTGAAGTCACAAAGGTGGCTTTTTCCTCTCTACTGCGGGAGTCAGGAGCTCAGGCTACAGGTCCCAAGTGCCAACGTGTGGCCTGAGTCAGTTCGCTCGGCACACAGACCAAACTCAGAGTCTGAGTCATCCTGC